AATAATTGAATTTCACCATCTAATTTTTTTCTACGGAATATTATTTGATTCTTTGAATTTTGTTTTTGAATTTTTCTTTTATTTAAACGTGCTCTTTTCAAACATAAATCTTCAACATTCGGTTTTCCACTAAATTCACTAATAATTTCACCCATTTTGAAAAGATCGCTTATTTCAGACTGCAACTGAAACTGTATAAAATTAATATTTATAGATGACTAAATTTCTAGATTAATTTACTTTCATCAATCCGGACGTGATTGCAATGGAACGCATGATTTTATACTTCCAACTAGATACAAAATTGTTTTAGCGCGCGATTAAACCTTGAAAATTTTCATCATTACACTTCGAACTCATCATGACAGTGTGCACTCAAACAGTGCATATGCACTCAATAATTATCGCGTTGTGTTTTATTATTAATTTTGTTAGTAAATGGATTCATACTTAGTCAGTGCGCATACACTCAATTATCGCGTTGCGTTCATTAATATATTTCGTTAATTAAATAATAATAATAATAATAATGGATAAGTACCTAGAGAAACGTTTATTTGTTTACAGAAAAAGCTTTAATTATTATTCGCAACTAAGTGTTTTATTATTGATGTTAAAATTATGTTTTAGTGTTTCTGGAATAAGTGGCTATTTATATTTAGCATTATGTTTTATATCTTTGTTCTCTGGTATAACAGAGATATTTGAACGATCTGTTAGACAAAATGAGAGATTAACTGAATACAGGGTGTGCTATAAATTTTATAAACAAATGCTAGATCTTAATAAAGCTCAGAAATTAACCAATCAAGAAATATATTTGAGAGAAAAAGAATTTATTGAGAATATTCAGTTCTTTCCCAGAGAAAAATATTTAAAGCAAGCTGAAATTAATGGATACAATTATATTTAATATGTTGTATTTTTTAATCTTCTTTCTAATTCAGCTAGTTGTCTTTTCGTTACTAAATCATAATCGTCTACTGCATCAAGAGCTTTTACAATTCTACCCCTCACAGAAATAAATGTTGGTGTTATGTTAAGTCCACTTAATTTGTTTTTGACACCTTTCATATTAACCTCAATGTGTTCAACTCGTTCGTCTAATTCTGTTAAATCATTATCTGTAATATCTGTTATAATATTCTTTAAATATGTGTTTAATTGCTCCAATTCTTTAATTTTCTTATCTATTTGATTAGTAGGGGCCCCGGATTTTTTAAGTTCTTCAATTTGTTTATTAAGTTTAACAACATCTAATTGTGTTAATTTTTTCAGACTATTCTTATTAAGTCTTTCTAAATTTCGTATTTTATTAATAAAGGTAGTTTGATTGTTTTCTAGATTAATTGTTCGATTTGTTAGTTCTTTTAAATCATCAATAGTTATTTCAATGATAGCTTCTTCTAATTCTCGGCTTAATTTATTCAAATCTTCTGTTTTTAATTTGAGCTCTTCAATTTTTTTGTTGACGTCATCTTGAGATGCTCCTTTTAGTTTTAGTTTTTCAATCTCTTGTTTGGGGTCTTCAAGTTCTTGATTTTTAGAAACAATATTTGAATTTTTACTTAATCTTCGGTTTTGTTTTTTCTTTACTATATTAATCTGATCACTTAAACTGTTAATTTGAGTTTTAACATTATTTATTTCAGTTAATGGTAAACCATGTTGTTTTAATTGATCTATTTCCGCCTTAATATTTGAAAGATCTGTGTTAGAGTTCGAACCAACTGAATATCCATAAACATCCATTTATAAATAAAATTTTTATATTAAATGATACTAAAATTAAAAAGTAACAAGTCTGTACTGACTTATTATTTTGAGACACATTTTCCAACAAATGGTCTCAAAGTTGGTCTATTGGGTTTCTATTCAACGAATCTGATAAATAATGTTACAAATAAGAATAATAAAATTTATTATAACGGAACTTATTTAGCTATTCCAGAAGGACAATATAATTACACATCACTTAGAACATATTTAAATAAATATGGATTTGATTTGGTTCAAAATGGGAATAAAATAGAAATTAATTCTCATTATCAAATAATGGAATTCTCCGATAGTTTATCACATTTATTAAATAGTTCGAAGAAATTTATTTCTGTTGAAACAATCAATATTCACTGTAATTTGGCTAATGGAATGTTAGTAGAAGGTGGTAAGTTTATTCATAGAGAAACCGACATTATCTCTTGTTTTAAACTGAATTCTAATTTTAACAATTTGATAATTTATGAACCCATCCCTGTATATTATCCAATTCAGTATAATAATATTTACAAAATTGAACTCAGAATATGTGATGAAAACGATGAATTAATTGATTTTAATGGAGCTGATATTACAGTAATCTTAGAGTTAAAGTAGTTTATAAAAAATTTTTCTTTATAAATGAGTTGTCAAAAAGTATGGGATGAGATCTCTAAATCTCCTGTTATAACTGAGGAGTTTATAATTTTCTTTCAACAGGAAGTAAATTGGAACTTAATTTATCGTTATCAAAAGCTCAGTGAACATTTCATGAGAACTTATTTAAATCGAGTTAACTGGAGTGTTGTTTCTAAATATCAAGTTTTGAGTGAAAATTTTATTGATGAATTTAAGGAAAACTTAGATTGGGAATATATTTGCAAGTATCAAAATTTATCTTTAGAGTTCATGAAAACCCATAAACAATATTTGGATAAAGACAATGTTGAATTGTATCAATATGTTAATGATGCTTTTTTAGCAGATCTTAAAAATTAGTTTTATAAACCTACATCTCGCAAAAAAAAATATATATTACATTTGCCCACATACTATTAGAATTATTCATTGAAATCTATTTTACATTTTAATTATTGTGCATCTGTAATCAATTAATTCAAGGTTATCTCGATTCATTTTATAATACGAGAATTGTGGAGTCGATGATCTATTTATTATAACTGACGTAGGTCAGATAATTATAGAACTTCAATGATTGTATAACGTTGTGTAGATATATATAGACATCAAATTTACGGTACAACTTTTATTGTTTATTAAATATAGGAATGATTTTTTGTGCACTAAATTAGATTAGGTTTTTTATACCGAAAATGTATGTGCAACATTTGTGATCTCTCTCTCTCTCTCTCTCTCTCATTCTTTCTCTTTCTTTGACTACCCTCTCAAGCCTTGTTAGTTTTCGATACCAGGATTTCTCCAATTTCTGTTTTTATATACTAAGAGTGTGGGTCTTCGATTGGAGATCGAACTTGGGACAGAAGCGGCACTTTACATACTACTATTATTTGACAATTCATTCTTGCAAAAAATCGCAACTCCCCACATTTTTTGACATTTCTTAAATATACAGAGATAAGCTTGTAACCTTCAATGTTGATTATTCCATCCTGTCCTTCCTTTAGCCAATGTTCAGACATACAAAAAATATCTACATTATGTTTAAACATCTCAATTTCCAGAACATCGATTTTGTTTGATATACTTCGCACGTTTTGATGATAAACAGTTAATGTCTTAGTTTTTCTTATATTTGTATTCTGTAATTGTTACTGATTTTTTATTTTTTGTTTTTCCATATTTACCTTATGGTGATAAACGTTACAGCTTTTGACATCGAAAACAGTGATCAACATTGAAATTACAGCCTAATTTATCATTAGCTTCCACACAGTTAATACATTTAAAAGAAACGGATGTACAATTTTCCATGCCATGATCATTTGTACCGCACTTAAGACATAATTTGGCTTTACACTCAATGGCTTTATGACCATAACTGCCACAATTGAAACACCTATATACCCGCACATAGTCAAATACCCTACATGATGGAGCCCATCCAATACTAACACATCCTTCACTAAGAAATTTTGCACGAGTCTCAGGGTTACACTCAACGATTGCCATATATCTGGTTATCATCTTTTTTATAACAATTACCTCTAATTTATCATCTTCTTTCAAGAATGAATTTTGTTTATGTAGATATTCAATCAGCTTTTCTGGAGATAAATCTTCATCGAAGTCAACAATTTTTATGCAAGGATTTTTTTGATCTGGTGTATTAATCAAATAATTTTTACCTAATTTCTTCTCAGCATCTCTTTTAAGTTTATCAGTTTCCTCTTTAGTTTTGCATTTAATAAGCACTCCACCATCTTTTAGGTTCCTAATTTGAGTTATACCAACCTCCAAGTCAGCCGGTTTCAGTTTTTTTACTAGAAAATCTTTGGTTTTACCACTATCTTGTTTCACTTTTGGTTTAATAACTACGGCTTCACCTACTACTATTTTAGCATACGACTTTCCTGTGCTTAAATTTTGTTCATTACTATCTGGCGTTTTATCTATTTTACATTTCAACTCTTGTAACTCCTTCACAATTCTATTTTTAAAATTATCAAAATCTCTATTGAAACCCTTTACAAATTCAACAAAACTTAAACACGAATTGCAAAACCATTTAAAGCTCACAATATTATTAAATGTATTAAAATCATTTGTATTTATTTTTACACATTTTAAGTGGTAGACATTTTCACACGGGCCAGCACATTTTATGTAATTATCTGCTTGAATTACCATTAAAATTTTCACAATTGTCTACTGGTTCTAACAAAGATTCAAAGTCTGCATAAATTACAAACGGCACTTGTAATTATTGTTTTTCAAAGTTAATGAATGTTAAAATATTTTCTGGTTTGAATTGGCCACTTATTTTTTTTATTTCAGTTGTTGGAAGTTCTGTGTATACATGTGTACAATCATGTTCTTCATGAGCTTTTAACTTGTTTATAGTTGTAAAAGATTGTAAACAACCATCACAAATATGTATTTTTTCAGTATTCTTTGTTTTCTGGCTTCTAACAAGTCGAGACAAGTCGGTAATAGGGCAGTAGTGATTGTTTCCATCTGTATCTGATACAAGCAATAAATTAACGTGTGTTGATTGTCGTTGTGAAGTAAAATGTAGTGGTCCCACAATTTCATATATGTTCTTACAATCTTTGTATTCCAAATACGTTTACTGAAATGTTATTCATATTCTCGAATTTTTTTATGTCTTTCAGTTTTACTGGAAAATCAATACCTTGAAAATCTAACAGAGTATCGTAGTGGGGGTATGATGATGGGTTTTTGGGATCACCCTCCGCAGGAAAAATTGCTGCATTTATGGACCAAGCAAAACAGGCGTTATCTTGATTTTCAATATTTAGGACGTCATTTTTATTATTTATTGATATAGAGAGCTCTATGTATGAAGAAGCAGCAATACTATTAAATCGGTTTATGTTTACATCTAAAAACATTATTTCCTGTAAACTCCAATTTGAGTCTTTCGTTTGGAATTCTGATGCTTGAGTCATAATGTCATGTTTAAATTCTTCATAGACTTCTTCAAGGTTGGATGAATATGAAATAATTTTATTTTCCGTATTCATGGATTTAATATCACTCATTTATTTATCTGGTTTAACATATATCCCAAATACTTCCATATTTACTTTCAGGTTTGTGTGAAGTTGCAAATAATCACTGATTTTATTTAAAACTTTGTTTGATATTATTTAAAAAGTCATTGTAATTGATTTTGTTTTTATTCGTGTTAGAAAATCTGTATGATGCGATACGATTTTTAAATGCGTAAGATAGTTTACTAACACCATTGTCGAGTACTTCTGTCAATTGGTTTTATTCTCTTTTTTGGAATGGGGCACATGCAATCTACATCCCGTTGGTGCCGCTTCAGATTAAATTTATTTAAAAATACTTTACTGCACTTGTTACACTGCTACACTCACAATATTTTTGAAACTAGAGAGTTCGATGAAATGCAGACTTCTTTAATAATGAAATGAGAAACCAGTTTCTAAACAGTTGTTTAACTGGTTTTGTGTACCTGAATTTTAAAACGTGGGTAAGGATATGATTAAAGGTTAAACAAACGAAGGTTAAACAAATTAAGGTTTATTCAGTAAAACATAATAATGCTGAATCATTAAACATATTTCGTTTCGGGTAGTAGAGCGCATGACTATACTTTTTGATTGACTCCTGATTTTTTCTTTTATTTCTTTAATTATACGTTTTTCATCTTTTTTATATAACCCTTTCGATTTGCATATAATGTTACCCTCTCCATTATAAGAATTATTTACGTTATCATTTTCAGACAAAGCTACAATCCATGCAGCTGATTCACAATTGGGTATTTCACAGCTTAGTTGATTACCATGCTCGCCATCATTCTCATTAAGATAAAATTCATCAAATTCCATGAAACAGATTGGGTTACTAATTATGATTGGAACCTCCATATCAATGGGTTCATTTAACCAATAAGCGGCTACGACTGTTGGATATCCATAACCCTCAGAAACCGCAGACCATATATAAATTTTAATATTTTCACAATTACATTTCTTAATGGCTAGTGCCAATCGGTTTATCTTATATTCACATATTTCATACTTTTTACCGCAACACTCGAAAGTAACCTCAATACTATGATCCCACCCCATTATTAATAATGAAGTTTTCTTAACGCTTACCTTTTATTATATTACCCCTACTCCCACTAACTAAATAAAAACCTATTTAATTAAAATCTTTTATTTTTTTATAAATCTTATTTCTATGATTTACATCTTAAATTGGATTAATAATTTTTGCAGTTTCTTGAATACGATAATCAAACCTAATTCTGTCTATTATATCACATCTTCTAGAATCTCTGTAAGCAAAGCCCCAGGCGATCATGTGGTGGACTTCATTTTGATCTTCTCTAAAAGTTACTCTCTTCATAGTGTAACTTGACAAACCGGACCCTCACCTAGTTTTGCAAATACTTATAACCTTGGCCTAAATTTCGTCTAGTGGATACCCACGAAGTGATGCTAAAACCCCCAGAATTACGTTTAGAGTTCAATGTAGCTGTAATGGAGGAAGAACAAAGGAAACACCGAGATTAATTTTGAATACTGTTTATTTAACATTTATTCTTTTGTACAGCCGAACATTTAGATTATTTACCATTTTTAGGCTTAACATTATGTTTATGTAGGCTTTCTAATGTGTCATTTCTAACCTCAGAGCTTCTAGTTCCCATAACAGGGTAAAATAAAAGTCGGAAGTACTTTGGTATGTTTGTTTGTCTTCTAATATACAATCACACGTTTCCACGGAACTACTGAATTACGCATTGTCTAATAAAAGGGAGTACCACGGTAGCACGAGGAGTGTTGTGAGATCTAAAATATTGTGTTGAATTGAGAACCTCTTCCTTTTTTGAAGTCGGTTAAATTTAATATTTCTAATATGTGTAAAAACCGGAGTATAGATTTACCTCACCGTGCGTCGCGCCTTTCTCTAATATTCCAACGCCGTAATTTACCGACATACTCAGTCCTGTATGGACAACACTAAACGGTCGATCGAAGAACACCTGATATAAAGGGGGATGCCCGTCAGGCCCACTTTTGGGGTATCTCAGTAGAGATCCATCCAAGCCTCTATCAGGCTTTAATTTACATAGCCGCAAGGAAAATACCATTTTTAGGCCCTTACTATAGGTCCCTGGCGGTCTATGGTGGCCTAAAGGCGTCTTTTTTGGTACGATGCTCTTTTGCTCTGTCGATTGACAAATCAGTGTTATTAATCACAGTTCTGAGGATACGTTAGCTAGTCCACAAACACAATTTCACCTATTTATTCTAAATAAACAACAAACATACCGACTACTTCCGCGTAATGTCCCGCTAAAGATAGGTGGGTATGTACAAATAAATACGACCCCCCTCAATATTCATGATTTTACCCGCCGCTGTACATATCTCCTTTTTCCCGAAAATTCGATACACAAAACTAAAACTCCGTACTACGGCTAAAATGACACATTTGTCTACCCAATTTGGTTTTACAAAGAACGACAGAAAACATATTTTTTTAAACCCCAAACTAACTTTAAAATATATACCAATCCAGGCATTTACCCTACTAATCTACATCTGTTTGCCATTTAAACGTTAAATCGAAAGTGCTTTTTATCTTTACTAAAAGGGGCAGGTACTGCTTACAGACAACCCAAACTTTACAATTCGGCCCTTTGGCCATAAATCTAAATAACTTAATTTATTACTGGAGAGCATTGACCGACTATACAACAATTAATATTTATGACAACAACATCACTATCGATTCTCTAAATAACATAATTTAGCACAATATAAAACCCTATAATTTTTCCCACAATAAACGTTGACCAATGAATACCAAAAATATGACAATAACACACAGACGCGAATGTTCCCGCTAATGAATATAAAAGTAAATAAAGTGATACCTGTGACCTATTAATGTTTGTCTAAATTCTCCCCCGGAATATCTGAATATTAATTACTAGTTTGATTACTTTAATAGTGCGATTATCGTTTTAATTCTACGTAGAAGAAACCTTATAGAAATAAAAGTATACCGCTGACAAAAAGGTCTACCGGGCGTAAGCTCGTCGGATCAGCCAGAAGGGTGACGAAATCCACTACGAACGTCGCCTAGAGTAGCACTTTTAATCATTTAGTAACATTTTATAATGTTGAATCGGAGATATAAAATATCTGGCGTTTAACTAGACTAGTGAGGTATCAACAGTATTCGTTACGCCAATATTTTAGTCGCTCGTTAGATACAACCTTACAAAACAGTTCTAGGAGCGAAATCTGGTTCTACTCGACGTATATCTGCTTGGTCAACCTGACTAATATCTCCTTTTACTTATATATAAAATATAAGAAAAAGGTGGTCGTCCTAAGGACAACTGGATACCTATGCAGAAGCCGTCGTTTATAGAAACTAATTTCTCTACTCCGTCGATATCTTTTATTTCCGTTCTCAAAATATAACAAAAGCCGCTGCCACCGTAAGGGTAGCGATATCTCTCTTTAATTATATTTGAAGAATATAAAGAAAAAGAAGTCACCGTAGCGGGACATGGATATTTGCGTATTTTTGTCAACTTGACTCGGTGAAGAAGAAAAAGTTAATGTTCCTCCAGCCCACAAAAACCCGGGTATTTATACTTAAATTTCCCATATACGCCAATGTATTGGAAAGAGAACGACTATGCGTTCGGGCATAAAGACTATAAAGCCCTGTATTAATTCCTGAATATAGCCCTATCGGTTACATCTGTTTTGTTCTAGCGACCGTTAGAGTTTACGCGTAGATATTTCTTTTCCCAGAAGTAATTAAACGGCGCCTACTAGGCGGGATGCTGGGATGTTGTTTGAATTCGAAATAAAAATTTGGATATAATATGTAATATATAAGAATTATTTAAATTAATTATCAACCCCCGGTTGTCGGATTTCAATAGTTGTAAATCTTTTTTCAACACCTCGGGGTGTAGATATATCAATTTTAAAGCCATTTCATAAACCATTAAATTTATACTTTTGATAGGTTCCATTATTTGGAGACCGTCGTTAACAATATCAACGCTATTTTTAACACCTAGTTGAAGAACTTTTAATGAGCTTGCAAACTCTTGATTTCTTAATAGATCAAATGATATGTTATTAAAGGTAGAATATGTCAAAGCTTTGAAATACTGCACGATCCCAAATAAATGTTAGAACCTCCAGTAAATATTCTGATGGTATTGGATTTAGAAAACTGTTTAAATTCCAAAAAAACTTTCCATGATCAATCGAGTCTCTAAATGTGGATTATTTTAAAGAATCATTAATTGTGTTCTCGTAAGAGAGAAAATCTTGCCACTCCTTTTCATTAAAGATTACTGAATCTTTATTGTTTCCAGATATCACAACACACTGTGAAAAATTATTATTGTGAGATAAACATACTACAACGTGTTTATTTTGAAACATTCAAATAAAACTTTTTTTCACCAACAAAAACATCGTTTTTGCGATTTGAAAACATTTTGTACTGATGTTTACTTGTGAGTGCAACTTCTTTTAATATACCTTTATTCATAGAGGTGGGGGGTGTGCATTAAAAAAGATATTTATATAAAAGCAATTTTTCAAGACATTCACTATTAAAATGGGGCTATATGCATATATCAAAGTTGATGGTGATTTTGTAGATGCTTACAACTGTACTGGTTATTTCTATAAAAATATACTAGAAACAAATTCAATAAATTTTCAACAATAAATGTTTACAGGTGGAGAGCTATGGAAAACTACCACATCTTGTTATCAAAATACATGAAAATCTGTACGATGATATGACTGTGACTATGACTATGATTATATGACTGGTCTGATTTGAGTTAATATGAACATGCAATGGTTAAGAAAATTGATTTAAATAATTACGCTCATAAAAATTGTAATAAACTTAT